GAAATATATATTTCTCTTTTTAAAAGATTTAAAAAATTCTTTAATCTAGGGACAGGGAATAAATAGCCCCACCAAGATTTTTAATGCATCTGATTTCTTTTCATAAATCTGTATCCAAATTTATTTATTTATTTATTTATTTGTTTGTTTGTTTGTTTGTTTGTTTGTTTATTTATTTATTTATTTATTTATTAGACTTATCTACAGTTCAGCGGTTCTAATCTCACCGGCTCAAGGTTGACTCAGCCTTCCATCCTTCCGAGGTGGGTAAAATGAAGGACCCAGACTGTGGGGGCAATTTGCTGACTCAATTTGCTAAAAATCTGTAAACCGCTTAGAGAGGGCTGAAAGCCCTATGAAGCGGTATATAAGTCTAATAAATAAATAAATAAATAAATAAACAAATAAACAAACAAACAAACAAATAAATAAATAAATAAATAAATTTGGATACAGATTTATGAAAAGAAATCAGATGCATTAAAAATCTTGGTGGGGCTATTTATTCCCTGTCCCTAGATTAAAGAATTTTTTAAATCTTTTAAAAAGAGAAATATATATTTCATCTAATTAAGCACAAGACACCTAACAATATATTATATTTTGTTATGTTTTGTTTATACATTTTAATGTATAAACCATCCCATGGTGAAAGAATTGTAAATTGATGGATTTTGTCCACACTTTCAAAGTGTATTTCTGATTATTCTAATCTGAATGAATTTATAATTCATTCAGATTGCTCTTCAGCTTTCATAATTTCCAGCCAGGATAGATTTAGAGAACAGCAGGTTTAGGGAAGCAATCAAGCTGAGGAAGACTGACTTAGATACTGCTATGTTTTACACTGGAAATAAAAACTATTGAGTCTATTATACGGACACCCCATAAAGTGCATGTTTATCTTTTAATCATCAATATACTGTACGTGTGTGAGACCATAGATGAGTCAGATTTTATATGTGTACAAGCTTACAATTGTGCACGAGAGAGTGCTTTAATGTTTCCTAGAAAAAAGTCATACTAGTCACGCACATTTTTTGCAAGAGCTCCCCGTTCTCCATAATGCTTAATCTGAAAATCATTATGTCTATGTGCATTTATGTACCTGCATGCTACTGCCATCTATTGGCTAGCCTCTGTGAAGAGTGAAGTAGTATATGGAAGGAAGTTAAAATTTACCCAAATATTTTACCTTTAAAAGGAGAAGGTCATCTTAGATTTCCAGGGAGGGTGATAATACACTAGGAGTTGCAAGACATTTTTTCCTGTCTAATTTTATTTTCTGGAGGAAGCCTTAAATCAGTTGTCATCTTCCTTTGGGGTAAATACTGTAAATGAGTACAAACAATTATAACAGCCTTCATTAATTTGCAATACATGTACACATTTCCAAAGCATAATGTGCTTCTGGGGAGTTAGCGTCAAGTGTTAGCAGCTGAAAGGCAATTGGGCAGCAATTCCCTGTCTTCCTCCTTAATGCATTTTTTTGTGTGTGTGGAAAGAAACAAGGCCCAAAAAGCGGGGACTGGGACAAATGGAATCTTCGTAAGATTCCATGCTTGAGGCACAAATCCTGGATGATAAAAACCTCCTCTGCTCCCCACCCCACCACCATGTGTCTGTGTGCAGGCCTGCCTGTGAGCAAGGACTGGGTCCATCTGGAGAGTCTTCCATGCCCACTTCTGCACAATATCTGTGTTTATTTTCAGGACATCTCCTGCTGATTGCAATTTGTCAACAATATGCTGAATAAGTACATGGCATCGTTTTAATTTTCTGGCCTTTAGAGTTTCTGTATGTTCAAAGGGATGGCACTGTGCTTTTGTTTTTGTTTTTGTTTTGGTTACCAGACGCCATTTGACTGTCCCCAGCTCTAAGTACACTGCTCTCTTCTAATATCCAATATGTTGATAGTTCATTTGTAACAGCTTTCTTCTTCTGTTGATGCTCTGTTTCATTCTCCTCCTCTTTCTCTTTCCTTATCACTGGCCTTCCAACTCCTGTGCTTCTTTGCTGTGTCTTTTTCGTTCCACCTTGCTGCACCCCTCACCAATCTTCCACACTCTTCCTTAATTCCCACCCACCCAACTGCATGTCTTCCCTTCTCTCCTTGTCTTCCACACTTGCTGTCATCCTCCCCCTCCCTTACCTTCCCCTACCCCTCTGGTTTTCTTTGCTTACAGGGGCTGTAAGAGCCTCTAGTATTTTTCCGATCCTGAGTGTGATTCTGCTTTTTATGGGTGGACTCTGCATTGCAGCCAGCGAGTTCTACAAAACCCGACATAACATCATCCTTAGTGCCGGCATTTTCTTCGTGTCTGCAGGTAAAAGGGCTGAGGGACCAGTGGGCTGCCTCTCTGCGCAGGGATAAAATCACAGAAATCAAAAAGGAGGGAGGGACCCAATGTGTTGGGAGGTAAAGGGAACAACCGGCTCCCAGAGCATTGGGATGGGACATAAATGAAAAGGAAAAGACCGGGAATGCTAATATTTCCCAACTCCAATCACAATTATTCATTTCCTCATCTGAATTAAATCATGCAAAATGAAAAAGGAGATGTTCTACTCTTAAGTGATTGCAGGAGAGGAAGAATGCATTGCAGTTGCATTCCATGTTTCAGAGTTGCAACCTATTTTAGGGGAAGTCCAACTAGATTTGACAGTGGAAGAATAATTTGTTTAAACTTGTGTCTGTCTCACTTGTGCATAGAGCTGGGAACAGGAGGTCCAATCATAGAGCAACACATGGATATGACTAGTGCCCTCTATTTTCTTCATTGGAATTTCTCATTACTTCCCTCCCCCACCCCTCCAAAACCCAGCCAGATTCAGTTCTCTGCTGGAATTCATTGGATGAAAAAAAAAATAAACAAACTAAAGTCACACCAAGCAATAGCATGATGAACGATAATGTATCCACAATGTTTTCAAAATATGGTGAGGGCAGGTGGAGCATATATCCCACATGTTCACCTGCTCTTTTGCTCTAAAAACCAGACTCTTCCACCCTCATTTGGAAATCCTGAGATGTAGTTCCACCTTCACTTTAAATCTCTCCTTGCGTGAAACTTGGGCTTCTCAATCATGTCTAAACAAATAGACCTTCTGCTGTCATACTTAGTTTGACCCTGGCAAGGCAATACAGTGCCTCTAAAATTTCAGAGAGAATTCAGCTGCCTTGCATACATTGTATTCAGACAGGAATTTTTTTTTCAAGTGCATTGTTTGTAATGTGATTTCATAAATGTTAAAAGTAACACTAATGAAAGCAAACCCAAGATCCTGGATGACAACCTACATATTTGGCAAAGAACATCAGACATGTGTCCCTCCTATTCCCATTCTCCTGATAGTTCCCTATCAGTGCTTTCCTAGGCTGAACATGTTCTTTTTGCTCTAGGAAGGAAGTGGCAAGTCTGTTTAGGCATGTGCCAAATATGGTACTTTATACAGAGAAACGACTCTGTTGGCCACAAGAGAGAAGCCTAACTGCTGCCTCTTTTTGTTTTTACCCCTAGTGTAATGTTTCTCAATCTTGAAGTCTGCCTATCTTAAAGTTGCCAAGGTTGAGAAGCAGTGCCCCAGTAGAAGACCTTTCATCTTTTCTTTGACCATAGATTGGATGGCGATGTGGATAATCTTTCACCAGAAGAAAAGAGCATCTTAACACATAAAGTTTTTTTTTTTTACATTAGGGCCTGTTTACTACTGGTAGGTTGTTTTAAGAAAGAGCAGCTCAGAAAAACGAAGAAATTTTATTTGGCCTCCTATGCCTGTTTACTATTGAAAGAATAAGCCTATGTTTGGGCTTTACCACTGCAGCATGCAGGTGAAGGCTCACAGGATTGAATTTCTTCCATACCAAAATAAATAGTAGGAAAAAAATCCCTCCATATCAAACAATAGATATTTGTTTATTATTTCAATTTGAATCTTGCCTTTCCATTCATAGAACTCAAGGCGGCTGACAGACACCAACATTACTGTATGTACATCCATTTAAGTTAGGTAGGCTGACCTAATAGCTAAAGTCATCCCCAAACCAATTAGAAGATCCTGGCTGAAGACCAAAGATTCATTCATTTTCCAAAATGCATTTCCTAAGATAATTTGTATCATAGCTTGGGAAAATGCAGCAGACCCCACTCAGAGGGCCTAGAAGTCTCTTAAATCAGGGACATGCTTAAGGCTGTCTTTCTTTAGAAGCCAAATTAATATCTACACAAATAGAAAGTTATTCAGATAAAAGAATCTAAGCCCCTGTATCCTATAGTCAACAACATAAAATATAACTTCCTACGTTACACTTAGAAAACAACCTAGAGATACGTTAGGACTGGTATTTTGAAGTGTTAAGTCACATAGCAGCTGCATTTTGCACAAGTTAAAATTAATTTTGTATTTACCTGATGACATACGTTGCCTTTATGTTCAAAGAACAGCTTTAAGACTGCCACATATGAAACATGTTGCAGTACTTTTAACTATAATGTAACAAAAAGGACAGGTAACTATTGCCGGATCTAAGCAGCTCAGGAAGAATTGCAGCTATGCATTAGGCATAATTTTGCAAATACAGTCCTTGGTATAGCCATTATCTGCAAATCCAGAGACAATTGGAGGTGGAGGGCTGCCTGATCTTTCAAGAGAAGTAGAATCCCTCCAGAATATATACTCATTGGCCAACATTACAGGTTGAAGGAATCTTGGGAAAAATCAGATGCCAGGAAGAAAAGTTCTCGCTTAACCTTTCTTCCAATCATCTTCTTTCCTAGGTGTAAATATTTCCAGATACAGAAGCTCATTTTTTTTAATGGAGGAACATTTGATCATGTGAACCCTGGCTGCAATAAGAAGTGGTACAATTTAAACACAGGTTTTTACCTCAGTGAACTAGGCCAAAATAAGGCCTAAGATATATACTCTTTGTGTAAAAAGTCCAGCTTTGTAACATCCTCTTTTAAGCAATGAAAATGTTGGAGTGTGTGTGTGGGCTTCTTTAAGAGCCTGTCTCTCTATTTGTGGCATTTGTCTCTTGTTTCAAATTATTTTGTTCATATGTTGATTGTGGAAGCATCTAGTGCTGAGAGTCGGTTATTAATTTTTCTCCCAGAATGCCTGTAACATTATACATACACTCCACATGGTAGGGGAAAGTTATCACCTTCACACATTAGGGGTTTCCTGAAGATATTTCCCTGAAGAGAATGCTGGATTAGATGAATCTTTGGCCCAATCCATCAGGGATCTCATGTTTTAAGGTCAATGAAGAGTCTAGTTCAACATTTGTGATGATACTTGTCCATTCCTTCCTATTTCCACTATTGGCTAAATTATATCAATGTTCTGCATGGGGCTTTCATGCAGTACTTTGGCGCATCTGATTTCAATGAGACATCCAGGATCTCGTGGTGATCTCCCCAGGATGAGGGTCTAGAATGCAACCAACTTTGGGAGTTTGAATTAAAGATGCCCATAAACATAGCAGGCAAATCATTATTTCAATATTCATATAAGCCTTAGCTTAGTTAGAAACTGTACAACATGTCAATGAGAGTCCATGCTGCATCTCCTCTCACATAAAAGGGCTCAGGTTTTGTACATGTAGGCTCATGATAACTCTAAGATTAGGTCTTCTGCAAGTAGGCCTCCAAAACCAGATAATTACAACAGAGATACAGAAAATCTTAATGTTGGCTGCCATCTGGTGGCTGTCCAGAGATTTGCAATCCTAATAAGGTATGCCAAGCTGATGTGTAATTCAGCAGTTGTTTCACTTTCTTTATATTTTAGTTTGCTAAAGATTAATGATGACCAGATAGCAATATTTTATTTAATGCCCATTTGCATAATTTCCCAAGGTGGCAAAATTTAGGTCTAATAAATTCCAGTTTAACGAAAGACATCAACAAAACGGAGGCAGTGCAATATACCCTCTAACCAAACTCTAGATGTAGAAGTTCTCTGTTTTTTTATCCCTTCGACTCCAAACTCACAAAAACTACCAAAACAGGATAAAGTTGTTCGTTTAGTAAAATGGCATCGTAATAATGATTTAATCAGGAAAGAACCTCTGTCTTGCGATTCCAGCAAATCATAATAGGTTTCTGTGGACAAAAAAATGTATAATTCTGTTTTAAACACAGAACCTTAAAAAAGCCAAATAGTTTTCCAACATACAATGAAATGTATCTCCAAATAGGATAAGGAATTCAAGTTGGTGAATGTTATACTGTGGATATGGCAATGTCTGTGTTAGGTTGGTGCAATATAGCATATAAGAAATCAGTACAAGAGTGCAAAAATATTTGAATAATAATCTATATGGCTGAACATATTAGGATAGTACTTACAATAATAGATAGTGGGCAAGGATATTTTGGATGCAGATGTATTACTGACAGGCACATAATAGATGACCCATTTCAGAGGTCATCTAGCTTGTAATGTATTGCCTCTGAGCTTTAATCTTAGAAAAATCCCTCAAAATATATTTTTCTATGTATTAATAAATAAGCTTACAACCTATCGAAAGCATCAATTTAAAGCTGTAGAGAGAAAAATCAATGTCATCAAATGGTGGAGGCAATTACTAGTCCAAGATAACACAAACACAGATTCACATATTTGCTAGAATTGTGTTGTGTTTCCTCTACTGCCGTTCTATATTTTTGTAATCCAAAGTAAGGATTTTAATTGTTAATATTAAGCAGAACTGAGCTTCCTAGCTGTGCTGGCTAAGGATTGTACAACTTGAAGTCCAACGTGTTTGGAGAATATAAGGTTGGGGAAGGCTGCTCTAAAACGTTTTTCAAAAGGAATCTGAGTCAGAAAGTGTCACCGTGATGTGAATACATACAGTATTGGAACATTCAGAATCTCAGAAAAATCCCCAAATGCTATCTTTCAATGGCTGTCCCGTACTATTAAGCTTTTCAAACTGGCCATGCCATTGATCCTAGCAGGAAATAGATCAAAACATCTCAGTAGCAACAGAATAGTCCCCCTTGACTACAAAGCCTCTTCTAATTATATTAGTTATGCATAAGAGACGTTTTATAACTTTTTTTCTCCTACTCTTTGTCCACAGGTCTGAGTAATATAATTGGCATCATTGTGTACATATCAGCCAATGCTGGAGACCCCTCAAAAAGTGACTCCAAGAAGAACAGTTACTCTTACGGATGGTCCTTCTACTTTGGGGCCTTGTCCTTCATTATAGCTGAGATGGTTGGAGTGCTGGCTGTACACATGTTCATTGACCGGCACAAACAGCTGCGTGCCAGCACTCACACCACGGACTACCTCCAGTCCTCTGCCATCACCCGCATACCCAGCTACCGCTACCGCTATCAGAGACGCAGTCGCTCCAGTTCCCGTTCCACTGAGCCTTCACACTCCAGGGATGCCTCTCCTGTTGGGATCAAAGGGTTCAACACCCTCCCATCCACGGAAATCTCGATGTATACCCTGACCAGGGACCCCCTGAAGGCTGCTACTACCCCCACAGCTACCTACAATTCAGACAGGGATAACAGCTTCCTCCAGGTACACAACTGTATCCAGAAAGAAAACAAAGACTCTATCCACACTAACACAGCCAACCGCCGGACCACCCCTGTATGAAGCTGTCACGAGGGGCTGAAACTGGGGGACAGGGAAGGTGGGAGAAGGACTTGGGTGCAGGAGGGAGGAACAGTAGGGCGGGCCTGTAGGGGCAAGAAGAAAGCAACCATAGGAACCTTCCAAAAGCAAAAAAACAACAACAACAGCAAGCAAACTTAAGTGAAACATCCAAAAAGAAAGAAAAAAAAGTTTTAAAAAAAGGAAAAAAATAAAAAATAAAAAAATCAAGAGAAAGAAATTTAAAAATATAAAAAATAGAAAATAAATTTAAAAGAAAATGCATGATTTCCCATGTACCATTATTTTAACATTTAATAAAAGCAGATTTAAAAAAGGAACCAAGAAATAAAAATAATAATAATAATTTAAAAAAAAAACAAGTGGGAAAAAGAGGAGGCAGCTCTTTGGATTGGAGGGAGGGGAGGGGGGGAAGAACTACTCTTTTAATTTCTTAGTTTATTTTTATTTTCATTTTTAGCCCATTGTGAATTTGCAACTCCCTGGCAGCCTCCAGCCAGAAATGAAATGCAGTGACTTTGGTGTCTACCCTATTTGTACATGCATTGGGGCTACCTAATTTTTTTGAACCCGCCACCCCAGGAATGACTGGGGATTCAACGTGTCCTTGTTGGTCCATAGAGCTTAACAGTCACCTTCTTTGTCCTTGGGGATTGGCAAGGTTAGTGCCAGTGTGCTGATCTCCAGGTCTCAGGATGTTAAAGCTAAGCAGCTCAGCCTCATTAGCCTACGACTATTCTGGGGTTAACCGGGACATTGCAACAAAGAAAAAAAGCTTAATATAAAGTGGCATTTTTTAAATAAAACAGCTATAAATAAATGTAAATATAATGAGGGGATTTACTTGCCAGAAAGTGAGATAGTATTTTTATTTTCATCTTTTTCCAACTTTAAAACTACGAAAACTAAAATCTTAGAAGAAAATCAACAGCACTTTTTTTTTTAAAGATACCCTGGTACTTGACGTGTTCTTTGACATTAATAGCATTCCCTCCCTCCCCACTTCCCTTGCCAGTCATGAGAATTATGGACTAAGAAAACAATCTCCCCATGGAGAGAATGAGGCCACTATCATTTGGTTTAGAGAAATTGATAAAATATCTAGAGATTGTTCTCGCCCTGTAGCAGGAATATCCATGGGGCATGGTAAAAAAAATTGTCAGGATGGTGGCTGCAATGGTGTGATCAAAACACCACCCTTTTTTAAAATGTGCATTGTATATAAAAGCAGGCAGAACTCTGCTATTTTGACTTTTTTTTTTTTTACCAAACTCTGTGGAGACCCCTGTCTTGCGGTCATTTGCAAGCTTTAGAAAGATGCTAGGCAAAGTAGCTACTATTTGCTCACTGACCTCAGCTTCATTTACATCGGTAGCTTTTCTGCTTTGTGGATCAATCTTGCCAAAACCATTGAAGTTCCTCTCATGTACACTGAACAGGCTGTCATTGGCTGAAATTCAGCTCCGGTGCCAAATCCATAACACTAAAAGAAATATGCTCTGGTTTCCTTCTGTTGCTAGTGCTAGCCAGTCCCTGGCTGTACATTCAGTCTTGCCTTTCTCTGAGGCCTACTTATGGTGTTGCCATATGTAGTACGGGACAGTTTTATCTTTTAAATGAGCTTTTAAAAATAATTCAGAAGAGGAAATATTTGGTAAGTGCAGCTTTCCCTACCTCTGGAGCACAACATTTGGAAGAAACTGCAGCTTCTTCTTCTCTCTTTTTTTACCCCTGGTTTAAAGGCAGAACAGCCAAAGTGCTCCAAACATGGAATCTGGCAGCTTTATAGATTTCAACCGAATTTGAGAAAGGATCTCTACCTGGCCTCCCCTCACTGAAGACGTATCTGACAGGAAGAAAGCGGGGTGTATGTTCTATCACAGAGGTTAGCTAGAACATGTTAGGAAAGGAAGCTCTAGAAAATGCAGTAAGATAGAAAAGGAAGATGGTTGCAGGAAAAGAGAGATACAGAATACCTACCAAAACTCTTCCTTATTTTAGGGCTACCATACAACAACAAAGCATTCCGTATATTTGCATCTCTTTTTTGCATCTAGACATTGTCCAGATTTTTGCACCTCAGATCTGATGGTGTCAGCTCTTTGTGGTAGGTCAAGTCAAGAAACAGCATAGCGAGTATTCCAAAAATGTTCTTTATTACTGTCGAATAGAATAACAGAATCTTGAAAATTTGTGAGGGGCTCTTTCTGTCCATACTTATGCCAAACAAAATCAAGGTGGAGTTATTTTGAGTTTCTTTCTTTCCTCTTTCTCAGGATTATGTAAGCTTTTTCTAAAATCCCCCTTAATTGGCTTGCTAATTTCCAAGGCCAGGTCTCCATTCCTTTATTGGTGCCCTGCCTTGTTTATGGCCTTAAAGAAATATTGAAAACTTTACCCCAGAGGTTGCTAGAATTTTATGTGAAAGGAGTTCCTTTGACTTTACTAGTGAGTAAGAAACTGATGTTGGCAGGTTCCTACTGCCAGGTGAAGACATGTCTCCTATGTCTTGCACAATCTTAGCAAAATCTAAGATAAGGATAAAAATAAAGCTATTAAAATATCTATTAAACATTCTTAGTTAAACAGTTGAAAAAATGAGCTTCCTATCTCTGCTGCTAGGCTTGGATGCTAAATTCTCAAAATTGCTCACTTCAGAAATAACTTTCGATATTTGACCCAGGATGGGAACATAAACTCTGCAAGGCAACCTTTACAATCTGAAGGTCCTCCAGGTGGCCACTGTTAAACAGTCTGAGAGTAAAAGTTGACATATCTGGAGGTCTTACAGTTGAAGAAAACTTTGTGGGGCAGTAGTGATACTAGCTTTCCTTTTCAAGTATCTGATTGTCTTCCTCATAAATCATGTCATTGCTTCTCCTATTGCCTAACAGCCCAAAAAAGGACATGTTCCCTTTCTCATCTTCAATCCCTCTTAGATTTCAGACATAACATGCCCACAGCATCCATTTAAATCATCATGAAACTTGTTAAGAACATTTGGCGCTGCAGCAGCTGAGGGATCAAGAGTGTAGTACCTAAACAAGGTCTTGGGTCAGAGTAGAGATGTGGTTATACTGTTGGTGGCACTAAGTTAGCTTTAAGATGCAGATCAAGCTTTAGAAAAAATATATATAGAATTAATTCTCTGTGGTCTTGCAATATCTGAGCCTTTTATGTTGCCTTGAAAGAAGATTGGGGGTTAAGTAAACCTGACCCAGCCATTATATCCAGTACCTTTAGGTTTCTGCTTGATTTTTCCTGCTCATGCTGGTGCTGCTTCAAACTCAAAGAGCCTTCATACCCATAGCTACCCTGTACCTGCTGGGATCTATATAGCGTCAGAGAAAAACCTCTACCCACCCAGTTTAATGCTGCTTCCTCCTAAGTTTATTCTCTTAGATACAAAAATGGAGTCCCACTCAGGGTAGGATGAGGAGCAATATATGAAACAGTGAGACAATAGCAGAATCAGTTCTTCCCCAGGCATTAGCTGATAACTCATTCAATACAATCCCAAAATAACTGGACAGGAACAAATTGAAATAAATACCGAGACACAGTATTGTTAGTAATCAGTATGGTGGTCTCCCATTCAGTACTGAGTGTTTAAATCTGCAACTATAGCCCAAGCCTCAGCCTGCCCATCAACGATGAAAGGGTTGGGAGGAGTTAAATAAGCTAATACCCAAAGCCCAAGAAATGAGTTAAAAATTGGCTTCCTATACTCCAGCATAAGCAGAGGACAGTATTTTGATTGAAATCCCAAAATTGTTATCAAGGACTTTGCTACTGTGATGTTCTTGAGTATTTCTAATAGAATACCATTGAATGAATATTTGTGCATATGCGAATGAGCATGTAAATGTGTATGAGAGGAGATGAGATGAGATGAGATGAGAGAGGGGGGGGGAGATTGGGACTGGTGAAGGTTTTGTTTTACTCCCAAGGGTATTGCTTATGTTCATCTCAAACCAATTCAACACAAATCTCCATTTTCTTTATTTTTTTTTCAGACTGTTAAAAAGAAAAATTTTAAAAAGAGGAAAAATTTAAAAAAATCCTGGTACATGAAATAAAGTTTTTTTTTAAAAAAAATTATCACTTGGTCCTTGTTTATATGAATTTATCTTGTAGTTTGAAGTGAAGGCTTGTTCTTCCTTCCATTCTTCTGTGGAAAAATGTCCAAGAAAACAGGATTCAAGTTGAGGTGAATGGAAGCTATTTTGCCATGGTTTTGCCAAGTCCGGTTTTGCTAGCAGTCTAGATATCTAGTAAAATATGTAAAAGCAATAAGGTGCAATTGACTGGAATGGCTCGTTTTTCTCTGGCAGGCAGAGAAATATATTTCTTTGCCTGTCAAAGAATATAAATTTGCACTAATAGATTCATTTTGCAAATTATAAGAGCATTAATTCATACTATGAAAGTATCCATTCTGAACAAGTCAGAATCTATAGGTGCAAATAGGTATCTTCCTATAAAAGTGTTTCTATCTATAGTCAATTTCACAAAGGTTTTCTGAAGTCAACGTTTAATTTTGGTTATGATGATTATTTTTACGCTGATTTATTTACCAAATTTAAAGAGTAGTTCAAAGTAGAAAAATATGATAAATTGTGAAAATATTAAGAATACAAAAAAAGTAAGCTGTCTACAATCAATAAGAAATACAAATCTAGAGTCAGTGTTTTTTTTTAAAAAGCCACTTGTACATCATGAGAAACATTTAAAGAAACAACATAATAAAAAGCCAAAGAAAATTCTATATGATGGAGTTCCCTTGACATCTTAAAAAAGAAGGCACTGAATACAACTTTCTTAATAAGCAATTTCATAAGTGTGACTCAATATGCCCTCTCTCCTATCCAGAGAAAACATTTTGATGATCTTAATTGCAATCTTTCAGGTATCTCTTACTTTTCTATAACTACATTTAAAGGTTTTTTTTTCAGATCCTGTGATAATATAATGTTTGGATGATCTAAACATTCATATCATCCATAATGGACCAAATCTGAGCCAGTCAGAGTTGCTTCAAATGGCGAAATGGGCAAAAACAGAAATAGAACACCTGTGGAAAAAAAAGATAATAAGAATAGTAATGGGCACCTTGGGTACAATCCCAAAACAACTGGAACATCACTTGAACAGCATCATCATC